AGGCCAAGACACTCACAAAAGACAAGGAACTCGTGGCAAACCTTGAAGAAGGAAAAATTTCGTTCATTAGGTGGGAGGGAAGGGGAGGGGGAGAAGGTAAACTGAAGGGGAGTAGGCAGGTTATTGTTCCCATGTAAAACAACAAAGTCAGCGTAGGATGTTTCTGGCAAGGCGCGTATTACTTGCCTCGCTTTAGGTCCGTCCCACCTTAGTACTGCCACGCAATCAGCCTTACGTTGTTTCTGCTATCTTAGCCCGCCAAGCGATCCGTTTCAGCTCGTACGAATACTTGACAGAAGCGTCACCTTCTCTCAGCGTAAACCACCAGCAAAATCGCCTGGGTCACTCACCGCCTAGGTTGGTCACAAGCCGAGGTGGGTCGGGTCACAGGTTAGGTCGGCCAGAGCATGGGTAAGTGACAGCGTGCGTGACTGGAACAGGGCGAGGAAATACAGCACGAGAAGGGGTCGGGCAACAGTGAGAGTGTAACATGTTCGGAATTCACCACGCAGTGAACGTGGGAATTTCCGAAAGGGAAAGATGATGTTGCCTAGCTAGCCCCGAACATAGAGCAGTTCCCCTTATCCCCATCATACCATAGAGTCCAGCAGGGCATAGCATCGAGGCGCTATGCCAAGATGCTATGACAAAGACGTAGCGACACAGTCTTCCTATCCGAGTCGCGTCTCTCTTCTCGTAGCATAAATATCCTTCTCTGGATCTTCTTGTATCATCCTAGTTTCTTCTATTCTAATCTCTGAATCCTTTCTTCCTATTCTAATCCTGTCTTCTTGATCCTTCTCCTCAATCTACTTCCTGCGGCTAGGCATCTCTGGGCTTAGCTTCTCTTCCTCTTCCGCTGCGAGACTCTCTCCTCTTATTCTCTAGCTACGGCGCCGCGCTCTCCTCGCTAGGCCGGCCAGGCCAGCCGCGTCATGCGTCGCTGCGCCATAGCCTTGTTTCAGAGAGGCTAAATCAAACTCTAAGTCAGTCCGAGCCTAGGTCAATCAGAGCCAAGAACAATCAGAGCCTAGGTGAATCCGAGCAAGGTCATTCCGAGCTTAAGGTCAATCCGAGCCTAGGTCAATCCGAGCCTAGGTCAATCCGAGCCTAGGTCAATCCGAGCCTAGGTCAATCCGAGCCTAAGTCAATCGGAGCCTGGATCAGTGACACCATGGTGAATGAGCCTCGAAGTAAAAATTGCTATTTTTCCCGTGCTATGCAGCGAAAGGGCCCAGCCGAGGCTAACAATGCGGTTGGTCACAACCTGAGTTGGGTCACAGGCTTGGACAATCACTGCCTGGGTGAGTGAGAGCGTGACTCCATGAACCAGGGCGAGGAAACATAGAACGGGAAGGCGCCGGGGCACCAATGCTACGAGGGGCTAAGAATGCATCAAGGGGTACTGCTAGTCTATCGGCGGTCTGCACATCGGGCTCTGACACAACAACGAGCACCGTGATTCTTAGGCTGTGAGGCGCAGGCTTGCAAGGCTCAAAATGCGGAGGTCCGACTGGGGAAAGGAGGGACGGGACCGAGAGAGTGGAGCGAGGGCGGCGGAGGGGAACGAGAACGACGGGAGGAAGTCTGCGAAACGAGGGATGCGAGAGCAACGGGGGGGATCGAGGACAACGGAGGATCCCGGAGCGACGGGCACGCATTGGCGACGCGGACAAGACAGAGCAAGACTACGGAAGCCAGGGCGACTGGAGGAGGAAGACGCGGGCAATCGAGGGAGGCGAGAGGAAGCTCACCTTGGTTGTTGTCTACTTCGGTAGGAATGTATTGCACTAACTGGCTGCCATGCCGCAAGAGAATCCCGAAGTAGCTCTGAAAGGAACTCCTCGAAGAGGTTATGATAGCAGTGAAAAACACGAAAATAGAATTCACCAGACAATTCACCAAGCACTAATGAAGTGAAACCTGCTGATCATCTGAGAAGAAATGCAAGAGACAAGGAGGATGGCGCCAAAACGCACAAATTTGAAAAAGCGCGGCTTGCCAAATTTCACGCTTCGGAAAAAAACATTGTCAGATAATAAATTAGCCGAGGGGAACATAAGTGGCCGTTTTGTACCCTACACAAACAACGAGAAAGAAGGGTCAGAACAAAATAATCTTGCATGTTCAAAGACATTAAATGCTACAGTAGTAATCATAGAAAATAGAGCCACAAACTGCTGGTACATAAACTACCACGTTGCATTGATTTGTTTCAAAAAATTGGTACCTTTTGAAATCCAGTATCTCCCCCCGATAGAGTAAAAGGCAGAAGTGAAGGCTGAGATGAGTGAAGGGATGAGACATGCACTCATAGGATTTCTAGGAATAAAGAATTACGATGAGGTGAGGTCTGCTTGCACCACTGTCGCAACACATTCCGATTAGAACACACAGGAAAGCTTGGTCGCCATCAAGCATACATACTGGGTGTAAATCATGCATCTTCCGTTAGAAACAGACGAGCTTTGACCTTATTCGGTAACAAAGCACCTCATCAGCTGAGGAACCATTCTATCAGGAGTACCACTCCACTACCCCATCCCAACCATACTTGTTCTGCCCTCTTCACTCAATGCCATCATGTCAAGGCAACTGCTAGAAGCTGAGGGAACGTGTGGGTCTAGCCAGAGATGCACGAGGTGACTGTTGAACACCATTGAATAGGCATTTCATGTAAATTCGTAAACCAGGGTACGCATCAAAATCAGTTAAAGTTCTTGGAGCCAGTTGCAGATCGAGGGACGTATTGATACGATGCTAGCCTGACCAATTTTACCCCAACTACCTACATCACCATCCCAATAGGTGGAGTAGCACAGGCATGCTTAAACGCACCTCCATTGGTGGCATGTGGTGGGGTGGCTTTTCTTCCACCTGTACAATCCCCGCGTGGACCCTAAAAGCCCCGCATGACCAGCGTGCAATGAGCAGCTTTTATAGATCCCACGCCCGCGGCTTCTGCTGCCTCCCTCGCCCCTCACACGCCTCCCTCCTGCCCTCCTCCACCCACTCCCCGCTGACTGAGTTCACCGCCACCACTGCAGCTGTTGCAGCAGTCTGCCAGCCACCCCATGTCGTCCGGCTTTGTGTCGCAGCCCCGAGCTGGGCTCCTTACGGCCGATACAAGGCAAATGCTGTTGGTGTGCTGGGGAATGCTATAAAGGGATGAGAGTAAGAAGGGGCGTACTGCTGGGTGAGGAGGGTGGAGTGGAAGTTAGCTGCTGACGGCATTGTATACGGGAAAGCAGTGCTCACAATCATCCTAGCTGCCAGAATCACCATACTGGACACGGATAGGCAAAAGGCACCAAGGAGGGAGGGAGGTGTGACATGACAAGAAGACAAACACCATGGGAGGTGTCACATGACAAGAAAAAAAAACTTCATGGGAGGTGCAAAGCAGTGCTTACATTCACTTTCGCGGTATAGTGACATCTCTCTGCTCCATCAATGTCAAACACCATAAAATTTGTTACGAAGCACAAGTTCATCTGTCACAAGGCTCGGGCACACTTACCATGCACACCACATCGCACCCCTTGCCTTTGCACAACCCGCAACACATGTGAGTTGTGTATAAAAACCACGTTTACTCACCAGAAAGCACACACATGCCTTGATCTGCCTTCCACGCCTCCCTCCTGCACACCTCCACGCCATCTGCCCCGACCGGCTTCATCGGCACCACTGCTGCTGCTGCTACTCATGGCTCTGCCATGCATCTGGCCTGTGTCTCGCTGAAATGAGTCAGATCCTTAGGACTGGTCCAGGTAGGGATGAGCAAGGAGCGAACACGAACATGTTCGTGTTCGCCCCTAGACGAACACATCCGTTTGCCGAACCGAACACTGTTCGGTTCGGCGAACACTTTAAGCAAAAACACGTGTTCGCCATTCGCCTGTGAAGGCATGTTCGGGCGAACATCGAACACGTTCGTGTTCGTCGCGGGGCAAATTGCAGCAGCGGCCCGAACACGAACGTGTTCGGGCGAACATCGAACACTGTTCGGCGAACAATTTAAGCAAAAAAAACAAACCTGTTCGGTTCGCCTCGAACACGTTCGAGGCGAACCGAACAGGTGTTCGCCCTTGTGCTCATGTCTAGGTCCAGGGCAGGTGCTGTTGGTGTGGGAAGGGGAAGGGAGTGTGGGGGTGAAGTGGGAAGTGGGAAAAGGAGGTAAGAACACACTGCCGAGCGAGGAGGAGGAACTGGACAATAGCCTAGTAATGGCATTGCAACGTGCTGGGTGCGGATGGGCGAAGGCGCAACAGGAGAGAGTCGTGAGCACCACCAGCAATGCACGGAAGAAGGAACAATATGAGAGATTACACCAAAATGCTCCACCTACTCGCCTTCTCTCACCTTTATGCTGGCGTATCACCCTACCACTCAGGTGAGGAGCCATCTCATTTATATTGTAGCCCTATATCCCCACATGACCAGCATGCAATGAGCAGTGTGCAGATATCGCCCACGTACACGGCTTCTGCGAACTCGCTCTTCACCGCCATGCCTCCCTCGTCATCTGTGTGCTCCCACTTCTCGCATTAGCGCACTCTCGTGGCTCCGCCATGCTTTCAGGCCGTGTGTTGCAGCGATGACTTGGGCACCACACAACTACTCCTTGCAAGGTGCTGTTGGTGCGGAAAGGGGAGGCGAACTTGGGGAGAGCGTAGATAGAAGGGGAATCGTTCAGGCGAGGAGGAGGGGGAGGAGGGGGGAGGGAGGGAAAGGGGGGGGAACAACAGCAGCTGATGGTATTGCATACTAGAGAGCAGCGTTCATATTCAACCCCTAATTTGGCAGCACACTAGGCACAGCGCAGATAGGAGATGGCGCAGAAGGAGGGACAGAGAACGACGATCAAAATGCGGCAGTCGGATCCATTGCAACTATGCGGGACATGGGATGCAAGGGCAAAAGGAAGGTATAGAGAACAATTCAATTCCTCTGCCATACTGACGAAGGTGGATTCTCTCAACCTCGGCTTCTCTCACCTCCACGTTGCCACCATCCTCGCCCTCCTGCCGTCAGCTGAGACGCCACGAGCATTCCACCCGGTACTGTCAGTGGCACAGTGAAGGGGAAAGCAACGCTCAGATTCGTTTCGAAAATGGCATAACTGGCGCGGACATGCGAGGCCACCATGGTCGCCCTGCTGTGAGCATTTCGGCCAGCACTGCCAGTGGCACACCGTAGCAGTGCCTTCACCTGCGGCGAATGCAGTGGTGAGATCCATCCCTAGATTCGTGCCGAGCGAGGAGTCCTTCAGTGAGGGGAAGCAGGAAAGGAGGGGAGGCGTGTGGGGAGGGGGAGGGTGTTGGTTGGACGATAGCTAATAACATTGCGCATGGGGAATGAACGGTCTGGCTTGACAACAACTAGCGCCAGAATGTAAGTTGCGGATACGCGGAGGCGCAAAGGGAGGAGGCATGTTCAGCAGGCAGCAGCGGATGGAAGAAGAGAGATGGGATTCAGAGAAGACTGATGCAGTGCCAGCAGCTGCCTGTTTTTTCGTTCAGATTCCTCACCATTGCGGTGGTGCAGGGTGTCCGTGCCGTCGGAGCAAAGATGGGACCGCTGTACTTCGCCCTGCTACACTCCGCTCAAGAGCCGCCGTCTGCGCAACGGATGGAACGCCACCAGCTGAGGAAGCGCTGCCCAGCCTGAAGTACAAAAGGGTTCATAAGCTTGTACTTCAGGCTAGGAGATCGCGGGGTGAAACAAGGCTACGGTGCAGTCCGCACGGCACGGCTGGCCTGGCCGGCCATGGCGACTAGGGAGAGCTGCGCCATAGCGAAGAGATAAGAGAGAAGAGTCTCGCAGCGGAATAAGAGAAGCTAGGCTAGAGAGAGAGGAGGCCTAGCTCCAAGAGACGTAGACGAGAGAAGTGAGAAGATAGATTCCAAGATTAGAATCGGAGATCCTGATGATACAAGAAAGACTGGAGAGGATTATTTATGCTAGGAAGATAGAAGCGCGGCTCGTAAAGAAAGCCCGCATCGCTACGCTTCTAGCATGGCATCTTGGCATAGCGCCTCGATGCCATGCCTTGCTGTACTATACTTCCTGACAAGGATACAGGAGTGTGCTCTAGGCTAGCAAGTGGTGCTGTTCGTATCTACCTAGGCAACATCCCCTTCTCCCTTTCGGAGATTCCCATGCATACTCGCATGGCGAATCCTGTCCTGTTAGACGGGGGCAGACGGGAGGGCGCACAAGGGAGCATCAGCCTCACCATTCGCCGTCCCGCTTTTCCAACTGCCTCCTTTCCCAATCGCCACGTTCCGTGCTGTGCGATTCACACCGGAACAGCAACAGCAGCGCATACAGCATGTACGTCCCATCCTTTGCTGCGGACTGCCACGTACAGCAACGCGCTTGACACGTGGACTCGAGCACGTAGTAAACCAATTGCGAATCGCATTGAGATTTCATCAGCACGCTCTCTCGGAAAGACTTGGCTTCTCCGCTTAGACCTTCACCCTTCGTTTCACTCAATTCGACCGCCTGCTGCCATGCTCTGGTGACTCGTGATCTCGTTTGCTAGGTCGCCACTAGGGCAAACGCATAACAAATCGAGTCGACTGTGATTTGAACGGAGATCCAATTGTGCTGCGACACGCATTGGGACCAATCGACCTCTCTTTGCTCTCCTCGGCCTTCAAGTTGCCTCACCCGTCGATCGCCTGCATCCCGCCCTCGCACGGTGCACGGCTAATATACACTAAACGGCAGATCTGGCAGCGCGTGGCGGCATCGCAATTCACAGCTAATGCGCGATTGTACAAGACAGTGAAAGGGCCGCGCTAGGAGTACTTCGAATTTGGTCGCGAGCGCTCAATGCACTGACACGATGCTTGATTTCTCACTAGACGTGGCGACACCCGTGCTTGCTGGCGCGCATCTAGCTGTGTGGCGACTGATGGCGCGTGTGATCTTTGAAATCTGCAAAAGTTTACATTTTTAGGTCGAATGCAGCTTTTGAACATATGCCGAACAAAACTCGACTCTCCTTGAAGAGAAATTCCAACCGCGGGTCCCCAACTCAGATGAGTCACAATCACGCACGCAAGGTCTAACACCAAAATTCGAACCGTAGGTTACCCGGTTGAAAATCGCCACGTCAACATACTGCTATTTTCTATTTCGCAATGCAGTCACAAATTTCGCATTGTCTTTGTACGTGCTGAAAACACACACGCTCGCTTCAACGTGTACAAGCAAGTTCACCCATTCGACTCGAGTCGAGTTCACATATGAAATTCACACTTATGTGCGCCCAACATTTCTATGCCTTCGCCAACGGGTTTCCGCGACATTTGCGACACAGGTAACCACCTAACGTTCAACCTTTAATCCGAACTTCGGAAAAGTTTCCACGCGCCCTAAGGGCGTGTGTGATTTTTTTTTAGGTTCGTATTTAAGTTCGAACTTTAGGTGGTAACCAGTTTCGCCAATGTTCGTAGGAGATTTCGCCAATGGTGACTCCAATTTCAAGAGTACCTGGTGCGAACATACAAATGTGAACAAGATTCGAATATATGCACAAACTTTGTGTAGCACACTGAACCGAACGTGTGTGGTTTCAGGCACGTACGAGGAACCAGCGAAGCTCGCGACTCTTTCGTGCACCAATGGAGGCACTTACGACACCCGTAGCAGAGTCCCCCGCGCAAAGCCCACCACGTGGCATGCGTCGTGGCACGATGACGGTTCGTGGCACCAGGTAGCAGGAAACATCGCATGTAACCTTGAAGCACAATTCCGAGAAAGCGCACAAGTTGAATCAGAGTCATTGTGTGATGCTGGGTTGGAGACCTGGCCGAGCACTCCGATATTTGTAGCGTCAACAACTGTCCCTTGAGCAATGTCGAGGTGGAGGTCTAGCGTTATTTTTTTTTAGGGGCGATTCGTTGACGTGTCGTGCTGTCAATAGAAGAATACCAGGTAACCTAAGCACCCTATAGGCGGCTCGGTCCCCCCCCTGTAAGCTCGAACCTGCAGATTCGCACTTTCGTGTGTGATTGTGAATCTACAAGCATTGCCACCTGCGGTTCGAACTTGCCAATGCTCAAAGTCGAGTCATGTTCATGTCAAATTATATGTTTAATGTTATCTAGGCTGTAGTGGGTTTAGTCTTAGGGGGTACAGAATTTTGCTCGACACTTCTTTGTATCCCCCTCCTTGCCCTAATCTCAACACACCTTCATACTATTCTAACATGGTATCAGAGCTAGGACGTTCCTAGCCTAGGACGAATTTTTTTTGGGCCCACCGTTAAACCTTCCGTGACCCTGCCCGAATCGCGTTCTCTGCTTTTTTCTGCCCGAAATGCGCCCTTAGGTGCATCGATTTTCACTGCCCCGCGGCCCTGCCCTGTCCTGTCGCGCGTAGCCCGCGAGCAGCCCGTACAGCCCCCGTCTGGCCTTCGCGCCGCCCGTACAGCCCGCGCCACGCCCACGCGCGTCCCGTATAGCCTACGTTAGGCCCACGCGCGGCCCGTACAGTCAGCGCTAGGCGTTAGCGCAGCCCGTACAGGCCACGTCAGGCCCGAGAGGCCAGAGACGGCTGCTGCAGGGGCGGCTGCTCCAGGGGCCAGAGGCGGCTGCTCCAGGGGCGGCTGCTCCAGGTGCCGGTGAGGCTGCTGCTCTAGGTGCTGGTGAGTCAGCTCTCTCTGGTACTGCACCTACTGAGTCCTTGCACACTTTCACACTTGACTCTGGTGCTTCGCGCTCTTTCTTTAGAGACAGCACCACGCTGACTCCGCTCCGTCGGCCTGTTGCGGTCTCCCTTGCTGACCCCTCCGGGGGCCCAGTCCTTGCACACTCCTCCACGGTTCTACCGTGTCCTGCGGCCCCGTCGGGCTTGCTGTCGGGACTGTTATAGTCACAATAGGCTTGAATGTGCCTAAAACGAAAGATAGAGAGCACAGACGGATTTCTGCACAGCGGCTTCAAACGTTGATAGCGTTCTGCTCACAGCTGCAAATGACTTGATTCAAATTGGATCTGGAGCGTCTTCACGTCGTCTACAATTAGCAATTTAGATTGCACGATTTGATAAAGAATTGACGACACAGCGTCGGTTTGAACGAACGGTACTATGGCAGCCACTATAGTCTTAGAACACAAGATAGGAAGAGTTACGAGTTGGGAATGACTCCCAGCTCCTACAAACCCCAAGAGCCGAGGTACAGTGATGTGGAACAGTGCCACACTGTCCCCAACCACGAAGGGTCTCGAAACTACCCTTCACTAGGGCCTACACCAAGTGAAATGTTACACTACACAAAGTAATGTAACTATCTTCAATATCTTGAGGTGTACCCTTTTGGCAAGCTTCGAAATCACTTGAGGCTTGACACCAAGGCTCGGGCTCTTCATCACAAACTCATCCTTGAGTTCTTGATGGGTCTGCTGCACACACCTGCGACACGCCGAACGTTCGACACAGGACAAAATAGAAACCGCGCACGACAAAAAAGAAACCGCGCGCGAGACACAAACGACCGCGTAACACGCGTCTAGCGATAACTCGCTATTGACTCGACACACACACTCGACATCATGACTCAACATTCACACACAATTATAAGCATGAAATATATATTATCCCATGCCCTCATACCATTCCATACACACACACATTCACGCACACGGACAACAAGCCGAGTGCAAACCGTAGGGTTGCACCAACAGGGACTCCACCTCCCCTCGTTCTCTACGAACTTGGTGAGTGGAGCTGACCTCCAGGACGCGTGGGTTGACCAGTTCACCCCTGGAGGTCAGCGTGTGACCCACTGCACTTGCTCTCGGACGACCGCCACCTGGCCACGTTCACCCGTCGGCCACAGTCGAGTCTGTACACACTGACTACTGCGCCTCCTCCGGTCCCTGCGTCTGGTCAGGTAGCTCTGTCTAGTCAGGTCTTTGCTGCCGCGTCCAGGTCTAGTCCTGCGTCTGCCCCCTGCTCGTGTCGTCCTCTGGCGCACGAGACTCTCCTTTGGCACCACCGCCTTGGTCACCCCTCCCTGCCTCGTCTTCGAGGTATGGCCTCCCGTGCTCTTGTCTCTGGACTCCCCAGGTCCCTCCCTCCTCTTCCTCCGGGGCCTGCCCCAACCTGTGTTCCTTGTGTCGAGGGCCGGCAGCGTGCCGCTCCTCACTCCTCCTCGTTCCCTCCGACTGAGGCTCCTCTGCAGACTCTTCATATGGACGTGTGGGGCCCAGCCCGCGTCCGTGGACAGGGTCACGAGCGCTACTTCCTGCTGGTCGTTGATGACTACTCGCGTTACACCACAGTCTTCCCCTTGCGCAGCAAGGGTGAGGTCCCTGAGGTGTTGATCGACTGGATCCGCGGTGCTCGTCGCCAGCTTAGTGAGAGTTTCGGCTCGGACCTTCCTGTTCTGCGTCTGCACTCAGACAGAGGCGGGGAGTTTTCCTCCGACCTCCTGAGAGCCTTCTGTCGTTCGGAGGGCATCCGCCAAACGTTCACGCTTCCGGCCACCCCGCAACAAAATGGGATTGCTGAGCGCCGTATTGGCATGGTCATGGACGTCACTCGTACGTCCATGATCCATGCGGCTGCTCCCCATTTTCTGTGGCCGTTTGCGGTTCAGTACGCTGCGCATCAGGTCAACCTTCAACCTCGTGTCTCCTTGCCAGAG